TATAGCTGAAGCTCTTTGGAGCTGCCTGGACTTGATGAGCTATGAGACTTGCCAAGATTCCAGGAGAGAAGATGTCACTTCTCAGACAGTGGGCTCATCCTCAATGAAGAACAGAGGTTGATGCCCAACTGGTTACCGACTTGGAAGGCCAAGTTTGGAGGTTCTATCTGGATGAATACAACAAGCTGGAGCATATGGACCAGCTTATCAAACCACCTTAGTATGTCTATGGAGCAAGAGGACAGAACATCACAATCACCCTACAACTGGAAACCTTCGATACCATGGCCCATCACTCCATGAAGGCTCTGATTGACAGTGGCTGTACAGGAAGCACTATTGATTGACAGTGGTCCCATGATCATGGTATTACTGTGCACAAAGCAGCTCACCCCACTCCGGTGATGTGAATGAGGTGCTCTATAGGTGCTAGAGCAATGCCTCATCCTGCAAGTACTTCAGGGAGAGGTGGTGGTATGAGTCAAAGGATGGATTGCTGAGGTAATCTACTTCTAAACTCAGACTAAACTATCTGTAACTACTAAATCTGGCTAACTGAATATTACTATGAAGAAAACATAATCTGAGTTCAAAACAAGATACACCCATCACTGGTCTATAACACAGATGGTACTCATAACAAGGGCAGTGACATCACTGAATTCACTGAGGTTTGACTCAAAATTGGGGACCACAGTGACTGAATTGAGCTAGCTATCATCAATCTAGGAATGACACCTATCTTCTTAGGCCATGACTGGCTGCAAAGGCATAACCCACTCATCGACAGGAATATGGGCTCAGTAACCTTGGCACATTGTGATTGCTGCAAGATACCATTCCAACTTCCAGACAAAGATCCTGAACAGCAGTGGGGGACTGAAGTCGAAGATGAGGATACAATTCTCATCATAGACTTTAAAGAAGCCTTTCATGTACAGGCAATAGGGCATAAAGCCAATAAGTTGGTGGCCAAGGCCAACAAGAGAAAAGAAACAAAGTTGTTTGAAGAAATTGTCCCTGAACACTACCAAGATTTCATCGATGTTTTCACCAAGAAAAACTTGGACAAACTTCCCCCTCATAAGCCTTGGGACCATGCTATTGAGCTTGTCCCCAATGCCAATGCTAGCCTGGACTGCAAGGTGTATCCCTTGAATCCCAGGGAATGAGAGGAATTAGACAAATTCCTCAATGAGAACTTGGCCACAGGTTGAATTCAACCTTTCAAATCCCCAATGGCATCTCTCTTTTTCTTCATCAAGAAAAAGGATGGCAAACTGCAGCCAGTACAAGACTACCACAAGCTTAATGAAATCACTATCAAGAATCACTATCCCTTGCTGCTTATCCCGGAGCTCATGGATAAGCTCAAGGGCATGAAGTATTTCACCAAGTTAGATGTCCATTGGGGATACAATAACATCTGAATCAAGGATGGGGATGAATTCAAGGCAGCATTCTGCACCAACCAGAGGCTCTATGAATCCATGGTTATGTTCTTTGAGCTCACCAATTTGCCCATCATGTTCCAGTGGATGATGAATGACATCTTTAAAGATCTCATTGCCTAAGGGTTGGTCACCATTTACTTGGATGACATCCTCATCTTCACAAAGGATAAGGCAGAACACTGAAGAATTGTGTGGGAAGTCCTAAAGATTTTGTGTAAGAATGAATTGTTCTTGAAGGCAGAAAAATGTGAGTTCAAGATACTCAAGATGGAGTACCTTGGAGTCATCATCAGTGAAGGCTCCATTAAAATAGACCCTGTTAAGATTGCTGGTATCATGGACTGGCTGGAATCCTCCAAGAAATAGGAACTACAATCATTCCTAAGGTTCACCAACTTCTATCAACAATTTATCCGGCACTACAGCACAATTATCAAGCCAATGATGAAACTCATGGGAAAGATCCTATAGATCTGGGGAAAGGAACAAAAAGAGGTGTTTGAGTTCCTCAAATGCCAATTTGCTATAGAGGTCATCTTGGCAATGCCAAATGACCACAACAAGTTTCACATGGAGGCAGACTCCAGTGAAGGGGCAATCGGCACTGTCCTGTCACAGGAGCAGGAAGAGAAATGGCATTCAATCACATTCTTATCAAAATCTCTTTTCATGATGGAATGAAGTTATGAGATTTATGACAAGGAACTGCTTGCCATAATGATCACCTTGGAAGAATGGCGACATTATCTCATGGGTGCCCATTAAGATTTTGAAATCTGGACGGATTATTCAAACCTGCAATACTTCTGCAAATCTCAGAAACTCAACTGCAGACAAGTGCAGTGGGTCACTGAGCTGGTGGAGTACCACTTCACACTCAATCACAAGCTGGGAGCATCCAATAGGAAGGCCAACCATAACCAGAGCAAGAAGGACAATGATAATATTGTCCTCTTGAAATTGGAATTCTTCTGAGCCCTGATAATGCCAACAGAGGAGGAAATCCATGGCAAAATCAGAAGGGCAACAAGTGATCACCAATGGTGGGACCAAGAGATCACCATAAGTCTCAACCATGAGAGAGGGGTCATTGAAAGAGACCACCTACTATTCTATGATGGACACATCTACATTCTCCATGACCACACACTATGGGGAGAACTCATCTTCCACTACCACGATCACATTTCTGCAGGGCACCTAGATATTGACAAGACTAAAGAATTGGTCCTGAGAGAGTACTGGTGGCCCAGGCTATGAAGAGATGTGGAAACCTACATATGAGGATGTGAAGCATGTCAAAGGATGAAGACCAACATACAGCAGAAGGCAGCTTCACTACATCCCAATGCTGTGCCATCTTGACCATAGAAACACATTTCAGTCAATATGATCACTGGATTTCCAGAATCCAAGGGCTATGATGCAGTATTAGTCATCATAGACCAATTCTTGAAATACATCGTGCTGATTTCATGCACAAAGGATCTCTCATCGAGTGGGTGGGCCAAAATCCTACATGACAAAATCATCTGTCAATTTGGAGTTACCCCCTTCAAAGTCATCTTTGACTGAGGACCCTAATTTGTCTCAAAATTCATCACCGAGTTATATGCGATGATGAATATCCAAGGAAATCCATCAATGGCTTATCACCCACAGATGGATGGACAAACAGAGTGGGTTAACCAAGAACTTGAAAAATATCTTTGAGTCTTCATTAACCACAAATAGGACAATTGGAGCAAATGGCTGCAGTGGGCAGCATTTGCTCACAATAACTGCCAACACTCTGCAACAGGCTTTTTCCCCATCAAACTCATCTTTGGACGAGATGAAGAAATTTGCCCAACCACAGTGAGGCTGTCAGAAACACTATTGGTAACTGACTTCATTACAAGCCTTCAGAGGGTCCACAAAATAGCAGAAGAGTCTCTGCACAAGGCCACTGAGGTTATGAGAAAGGCTTATGACAAACACACTCATCCTGCACAGGAGTACCAACCAGGTGATAAAGTCTGGTTGGACTCAACCAATCTTCACCTCCTGTGATCAGCAAAAAAGCTAGACAACAAACATGTCAGACTCTTCGAGATAATCTTGAAGAAGGGGTCCTCTGCCTATGAGCTGAGGCTACCACCAGGTTGGAGAATCCACAACAAATTCAATAAATAATACCTAACTCCATACATTCTCCTAGAGTTTCCTAACCAGGAAAAACCACCGCCACCCGAGCCAGAGCTCATGGATGGTGAAGAAGAATATGAAGTAGAGGAGCTACTTCATGACCATGACTGTATTATCAGTTGAGGATGCAACCAGAGGACTATAATAGAATATTTGGTCAAGTGGAAGGGATATTCAGTGGAGGAAGCCACCTGGGTCAAGAGAAGTAACCTTGTCAATGCCAAAGAACTTACCAATCACTCTGAGAGCAAGGAAGACCATGTAGAGGATTATGATTTGCGACACTTGAAGAACCAAACAAGTGATCCCATATCATCTCCTGGCTCTTCAACTGAGAGCTCAACAATCTTTCCAGTCTCAGATGAGTAAGGCTATTATTCATCAGACACTGATGGATATAACTCGGAGACAAGCTATACCTTGAATTTTTCCAAAAATGAGTGCTCAATGTCTTCTCTTATAACTCAGACTGACCCTAGCTCCCCAACACAAGAACAGGGCATGTCTGCTTGGAGACAAAGACTCTTCACTTTGGAATCTGAGAATTACAGATTGGATATGGAGTCTACTAACTTCCTTGACTCAGGAAGTGAGTACATCTAATGATTGTCAGGATGACAGTCTTAGTCGGAGAGTATTATTATGATCTTACCCCTATTTTCCTTATTTTATCTTATCCTTATCTCTTGGAATCTTGGACCTACCTATCTTATCTCCCAAACCTATGATATTCTGCTGGCACACCTCCTACCCATTTATCCAGTTGTCATCATTCTGCCAATGACTCATTGACCACTGCTGCATTCTGAATGACTAACGTACCTTATGTGCTATCATGCTTCTCTTGATGACATCATGCTTCTTAGTGGTTTGACAGTGCAGACTGCTAGTCAAGGGTGATCTACAGGATATGGTCTATTCAGACAGAGTCCCACTTCCATGCGGGTGACATGCGCTCTTTATGCTCATTTGTTGAAGGCCACACTTCTCTATGCGAGAATTGTGGCCAGGACTTATTATTAGGCAGAGCCAATGTGTATTTAAGCTAGCCTATGCTGTGGCCTTAAGCCCCAGCTTCAGCTAAGGTTATATACTCCCAACTCTTACTAAACTCTCTGATTCATGACTAACTTGTCCGCCACCATCCATGAGAACCTACAACACTGTCCACCCTGTGAATCACTGAACATGAGTGACACATTGGACTCATATCTTGTTAAGTTTTGAGTTGGTGCATTACACTCTGGTGCCATAGTATTCAACATAGCTGTCCATCAGTGCATTGAATATGATGGCTTCAACTGGGTCAGAGTGATTCCTGGCCATCTGGTATATCATCCTTCAGAAGGCTGCATCTGCCTACATATCCTGCAAGATGATGAAGTGTAAACAGTTCCTGATCTTTGCTATCTTCTCTGTGCTCCTGGTGATGATGGGCTCATTAGCCTTGAAGAGCCACACTGCCCAAAATAGCATCTCACAGTTGGCCAGAACGATGTGGAGGGCAAGGATTCTTTGGCAGAGAACATCCCATATCTCTCTGGTCAGCTTGATGATGACAATGTATGGGGGAGCAAGTTTGTCCTCAGTGATGTTCTCCAGAAGGCTTTGGTAAGCTTTGAAGGATTCGTTATTGCTGAGGAGAGGGATGAATGTCAAATTGAGAGCCTCCCAGGGCTTGGGCTTTGAGACATCATTGAGCTTTCATCCTCTAGTAAATAGGACACCTAGCACACTCCCTGGGAGGTTCTTGGAGATTGCTTCAAGTTGGCTAGGGTGGAGGTTCTTTAGGAGGTCATCATGGTGGAAAACAGAGCCCTTGAAGTTACCCAAGTTCAGCTGTAGGCATGTGACTTGCCTCTCTTGCCTAGGTCCATAGTGCACAAACTCTGGGCTATTGCAGTGAGAGGCATTGTTCACAGAGACCATGGACTGGAGATGTGGGTCATTCTCATCGATTGGGAAGACAAACACTGGCAACAATTTGGGAGTGTCAGGAGGGGAAGGAGGGGAAGGAGGGGAAGGGTTATCCATACTGAAGACATCTTTTTCTTTTGATGCAGTTGGACCTGATGCAGATGGTTGGTTGCTCTGCTTCTTTTTCCTCTTTTGATGAGCCTGTACAATTATTAGCAATCTCAGTGGCAGGCATGATGGAGCTGAGCTTGCTGTGCATCATCTCATTGGAGTTTGAGGCTGGTACTCTGTTCTACCCCTGGCTATACCTTCTGCTGAGTTCTTCTGGTGTTTTGCTGGGTTTGCCCATATCCATCTGATTGTCATATAACTGATCTGGAATGGAATATCTGTTATAGTGCAGGCATAGTGTCTGCTCTCTGGTATATACATCAAAAGCTTTCACCATCTTGTGTGTCAAGTTGTGGAAGGTATAAGAGTGTTCCCACCATCCAATTCATAAAACCTATCTCATCATTTACAAGAGATGGTAACACTGGTAGAACACACCTTACTGCCCAAAGGATATGTCTTCTCTTTAAAACACCTAATCTCTCTTCTGTGATGCTGCAATGTCTGTATCAAGATTCTTGCCTTATACTGATAATCCATCCTAGTCCAACCATCTCACTGGTGACACCACATCTGACTTGACGACTGATGAGGCATTAAGCAGCAAGGGCAAAGTATTTTCCAGCTTAATATGCTAGTACAAATGATCTCAGGTCTATAACTCATTCTCAAACAATGATCAGAGGAACAGCTCAATTTTTTAGAGCTATTTAGGAGGTCAAACTAATTTATAAAGCATCTAGAGACTTCACACACCCTTGCATGTAGGCAAAGCACTATTAAAAATATCTGACACTCTTTCTCAACCTACATAAACCCAATCCTAGTGAGACAGCAGGACAAATAGGTCTTTTATAGCACTGTAAGACATTTTTGGAGTACTATGGGACATTCCAAAGCATAAAATAATCCTCCAAGAATGTGAAACTGCCTGTCATTTGAGGCAATGGCTGTTGCAAGTAGTTGGCAGCCTCTCACTATACAGTGCAACAAGATCTTGGATATATAGAGCTCTTGGACATGATTTGAGGCCACAGGATATTCAAATAGCTGAGTTAGGCCAGACAGGTGTAAGCATGCTGCTTACCATGTCGACATTACTCACTAGATCTCGGGTCATAGATCCTTCGATCGTACTATATTTCACGTCATGTACTTACATATTTAGTGCTAGTTCGGGATACGTCTCTCTCTTACCTTCCGACCACCACCATCCCCTCCTTCATAGTCGACTACATCCCATTTTCTCCTTCCTCTTGCTTTCAATATATGCTGTTTCTCGTTAGTCTTGTCTGATTCTCTCAGTGGTCTCACTCTTCCATAGAGCGAGGTTACACTTTTTTTTTAACGAACGAACGAACGTCAAATCTTGCCGGCCTGTATCTGAGACGAAGGTCTTTAGACCAACATCTTGCCCACCTTTTGCCAGCATGCATCCCCAAAAATGCCAGACGATGCCTGCACCCACACCGTTGCCAGGTCGAGTGAAATTTGCTCAACAGTCTGTTTTTTGCTGACATATCTATATCTTGTGGTATAGCTCATGTCATACCCAACCCCAGATCATGTTCTTGTAGACCTCAATCTCCCCGCCAGTCTTCTGTTGACATACAAGACAGTATTGCTGAAGAACTCTTCACAACTCCACATGCCAGCACTATCACCAGCATTGTCAATCCTCCTCTCCTGCCAAGATCCACCCTTCCATCCTCCTCCACCTTGACCAGTTTTCCTTCGTCAGTCTTGCTAGACAATCTGAAGACGCCTCCAGCACCCCAGTCTCCAGCTATGCAGAAACCAAACACTCCAGATATACCTGAACGATCACCGGCCGCACCCCCACCCAAACGCATCATTGTATCAGACTCCTCCTCTGATTACTACTCTTTGAGCCCTGAACACCCCACACCTGTCCCCAGTTCAAAGATGTCCACTATAGATCAAGCAGCACATGTAATAACCCATGGCAGTGGACAAGCACCTCCCATGCTAACACGGGGTCACTTGCGTGATCCGGAGACGCTGAGCCAGTATGCCGATGTAGGCCAAAATTATATTCAATGCCAACTCCAGAAAGGACATGACCTACCGGACATCCTAGCGAACCTGGTAGAAGGACTCGTGGATAACCTGCCGGCTGTCACTTGGTTTAAGCAACATGAAGCTCACCTGGTGAAGCTGACCTTCAAGCAGTTCATGGCTGAATTTCATGAATGCTTTCTTCCGGCAACCTGGATGAAGGACCTTGCTAACGAGATCTGGCAGGAGTCCATGCCAGAAGGTAGCAACTTTATCGACTGGATTGAACACCTTCGAGGATGAAATGGCCTCCTGGTAGAATATCCGGAATTCATCGATGATGCTGCACTCCTTGCGAACTTACGCAGCTGAATCTCCAAGCCGCTACAGGATGCCATTCGGAACATCAAGGAGATCCGTGAATGCACCAGTCTGGATATGTGGACGAAACTCGTTACAGTACAGGACGATGAACTATGCTGGAAGCACAAAGAAATTGCAGATGTAGTAGAGATGCTGGGAGTCTGCCAAATGCCAACATCTCAAAGCAGCAGCAGCAGCACAGCTGGCCTCCACCACGATGACAACCACATCTATGTCCTCTGGTTTCCATAGCAACTGCCCTCTCCGTTGTACCAACTCTGCACCTGCTTCTTTGGACACTGCAGGCTCATCGAACTCATCTCTTCCCGGCAACACCTTCACCTATAAGTACCAGGGTAAACTTGGTGATGATGAACATGCTGTTCTCGCTGCCAATGACGGATGTTTTGCATGCCATGATATCGACATTCCCAGAGAAGAACAAGGTTTTGGCAAATGCAAGGGACATGCTCCACCTGCTACTGAATATGAACGCCGCACAGCGGAGTGGGTTCTTTGTCGACATGCGGACAAGGCCAAAGGACTACCTTTATTCACTATTGCTGTAGTCAATGCTCAAGCTTCTGCCTCAACCTCTACTGCACCTACTGCTACCGCTCCTGCCCCGGCACCAGCTCCTGCTGCACCTTCGCAGGCACCTGTCACATCAGTCCAGATCTTGGGGACGACTGCATGGCCCATTGCCGCTGCAGTCCCTGTCAACAGCTCGTCCGTTCTCGAAGCCAACAATGCTGATGGCACCACAGCTGATGCCAACCTTTCTGTAGACTCTGAAGCTGTGAGTAAATCTTCCCTGCCCATTCCATTTGCTGTTCCACATCTTTTGTGGCATTGTACTGTTGATTCCTGCAATCCGGCTGATATTGAACCCTGTTCTGATGTGACTGCCTTAGTAGATGACAGGGCACATTTAGTGCTTATTCGCTCGGAGATTGTCGACCGCCTGCATTTGAAATGTTGCCCACTACCTGAACCCATAGACATTGGTGTCACAATATCTGATTCATCCTCACCTGCCTGCCACCTCACTGAATGGGTCAAACTAAAACCCCATGATAAATCGAATTTTTGGTCCTCCCATACTGTTCACGCCATTATTGCACCTGACCTTTGCACGGACATCGTTCTCGGCCTACCTTTTCTCTCTGCCAGTCATGTGGTTGTGGATCATCGTAATCGCACTTGCATTTCCCTTCCTTCAGGCTTTGACCTTTTGAATCCTTCAGCCCCAGTATCAGCTACCAGACCTGTGCCCTTGGCGGCATTATGCAAACAAAATACGCTTCATAATCATGTAGATTCCTGTGAACTTCCTTTCTTTTCCTTGCCCTCTGATGAAACTGCCTTCACTGTACAAACCGATCACACTTATAATAATCTTTGTAACTCTGATGTAATAGCTGCACTACGTACCAATATTGAATGCCTTGCCTTCCTTGACCACCTGAAGAAGCTCAATGATGAAATAAAAGAAACTTATGCAGATGTTTTTGTGCCTATCCCCCATGCGGATACATTACCTATGGAGATGACATGCAAAATTAAATTGAAGAATGCAGAGAAAGTAATCACGTCACGTTCATACTCCTGCCTGCTGAAGAGGCTGGCTGTGGGCACCTGTGGAATAGTGAGCGGGCTAAAAGGCGAACCTCAAAAACCCACACACACACTCACACAACTACACAAACTACAATCACCCTTGTAAGTTCTAGGGGGAGCGATTATTCCTAATGTGATCCAACTATACTTCAATATCTCGAAGAGTTTCTCTTATTCTCAGCGCTCTTAGCGAAGCTAAGCTTTCTCTAATGAATTCCTAAGTCTAGGAACTTTTTACAGGAAGGTCGTTCACTGGCACGATGCAACCTTCAAGGCAGATTTGAGTTATAATACACAAGGGACACTGATCCCAACAGAAACAGAGGCAATACATGCCGAAACTTTAGTGAGCTCACTAAAAGAACACCACAGGCAAGCACTGACTTAGCCTGCTCGCTACACAACTGTATGTAGGGGTTCTCCAACTAACTCCAGCAGGTTATCTCGACTCAAGAACACTTCAGAAGCGCTCAGAAACAGATTCAGAAACGGAACTTCGAACAGAACTGACACGGAACAGACTGAAACAGAACAGAACAGAACAGAACAGAACAGAACTCAGATTTCCACTTCAACACATTCTCCGAACAGACTTATCACACTTAACAGAACAGAAACAGTGTCACTGATTCGTATTCACTCTGACTAAGTTCTCAAAAGTCTTATCAAAAGGGTATCTCGTATTTCTCTGAGTGAGCTCGCTAATTCTACGCACAGCTCGAAGTCACAAACTGATCCTTTATTACAGTACCGCCTTCAACGCGTGCACGGGAACTCGGGGGCTCGAAACTTGGCCTCTACCTACTGTAACCAGCCTACTTATACTACAGGGGAATTAGAATTATAAACGTTGCACAGTACCCAGACTCCTACATGCGTAGCACGTTGCCACCGCTGCCTTACTGAGCATCCGAGTCGGACTTCCCAGTTTTAGTCTCATTTCTATAGTGAGCTCGCTAAACGTGTGCCAAGAGGTGCTCTCCCGACACCCGCAGGCTCGTTCTCTAGTGACCGACAGGTCTAGGCGCACGGAACTATCAGTTCTGGCGTATGTCGTTCAGGACTTCTTTCTTGGATTCACAGAGGCTTCTCGTAGACATGGCAACAAGTGAGTCTTCAAACAATGGGACTCAGAACAATGGAACGCGGGCTCGCGGACTTCGGCCGAAGCCCATTGCCCAAGCTCGTGCCGGTGATATCTGTCCACTCGCTTAAGGATTTCCCCGGATTTTCAGGTACGGCGCATCACAGTTAGCGAGCGCGCTAAGTGTTCTCAGTGCCAGTGCAATCTTCAAGGTTTTATCTAGCTCCTGTGAGTGTGCTTGTAAGTTAGAGCCTAAGGCATTGGGTATAGGGTTTGGCCTTCTCATCATGCATGCCCATCAGGTACAGTGCTGTGACTAAGTCCTGTTTAGAATCCCATTGCTTCTTATGCCATAAGTTACATTCCATATCATTGCACCGCGTAGCATCAGTGTCGATGTGTAGTTTTAGTCCGCTCGCTCACTATTTCTCAGTATGCGTGTAAAACACTCTAG